TCTAATGCTGGCCAAGATCATCATAATGCAGGCCAAAATTGGTTTAGTGCGGGCCAGGGGTGCTTATTTTCGGGGGGGTGCTTATTTTCGGAACTATACGGTATGTTACCATTATTTCTGTTGTTCTTTAGTATAATGGACTTTATTCTCTATTTTCTCAGAACGACCTCAATATGTCACGGGATTACGATTCAATGTAAGTTTCTTGCTCAGATTTTATTAATGTAAATTTTTAACATATGAGAATTACCGATTACTAAATTAATTTTTTCAATTTTTATTTTTATTTTTTTTATTATATGGGTATCGATCTATGCTGATCACGGGTACAAGAAAAATACTATATTACGAAATAACAAGCAAAATTTTAAACAATTTTATATAATAACAATGCACAATTTTTATATCTATATAAATTAACCGTTAAGCATAATTTATTGTAATTTATTCCGGAATCAAATCAAAATATCGGTTTCTGGGATATCGGATAAACGGGTACAACCTCTAACAAAAGCCATCGTAATCGGTTTCTAAAATCAATGTGTAAGATATAAATAACAAACATGAAAAACAATTTGCAAAGTATTTAAACTTGGTGTCTACCTGAGTCATAATATGCAAATTCATAGCGATAGTCTCTCATTGTAACCACGTTTAAAATTTCAGAATACGTTTCAGAAGATTCTAATAATAAACAGATGAATAAATATAAACAAGTTATCGTTAGTCGATGTTATCCCAAACAAAGATATAGGCATTCCTGCAATAATAATATTTCAACTGTACTATCTTCCTAATAGATGGCCTTCAGTGAGAATGTTAACACATACTATGGCTATAATATAATCAATTGTATTGAATAAATTTATTATAACTCACCGCTGGCGACAGCGGGTGCTTCAAAAATAATTCGAATACTGTTTCCTTCAACACCATAAAAAATATCTCTAATCAAACTTGTAGCATTTTTTATTTCCATTTCATCTTTTAATATACGATCAAAAGGAACATTCTCTGATATATTCTGGTTAAAATCGACTTTCCATAAATTAAGGTCCTTGGGTTTTATATTGCAAGAAACACTGATTTCCCTGAAGATGGCTTTCTTGAGATCGAAAATATTACTATTACTTTTAACGGTAACATAAAAAGCTGAACTGCAATTACTTCCACGTTCAAGACACCAAATCTTAACAGTTGACATTATAACGTAAATGAGTAAATCTTTTTTCTGCAGAAATTGGAAACTTGAGAGTATATAAGAAAGTATATAAGAAATCCGTTTCATCAATCATACTTTTTACTGATGATTTTGATCAATGATTGTTTATATCTGAGCTAGATTTATTGATTTATTATTTGTATATGATATAAAAGCAAATTTAATAATTATTACAAATAATCAATTTATTAATTTTATGAAGTTTAACCTCACGTTCTAATTTAATATTTTCTAGATTTTTCTTAAATTAGCTTTTCGCTCTTCAAGTACAATTAAGAAGTCATAGTGTATAAAGGGTTAAAAAGTTCTCCTTGATTTCATTAGATACATTGAAAAGTTAAGATCATGCCCGATCTCATCTGGTATATCACATTTAGGTGAGCTTCTTTTTCATCAGCAATACCGGTAATTTCACTTTCATGTTTTTTATTTTTTTATATTAAAGTTACAGAACTTCCATGTAATAATACAGGTAACCATCCTATACTAGTACAATAAAAAGATTGATTTTCATGGGTAGAAATGAATATTGACATGTGATGGTGAATGATAAATGGATGAACTTAGTTCTATGAGTGTAGATCCTACATTGTCTCCATAGAGACTGACTCTTTCAGATTTATCAATTACTAAAAAAAAAAAACGATTTTTTTTTTTTTTGAGCAATTTGAAATTGGACTAAAACACGTCTTATACATGTTTACTATAAATTCTACCCCCTTAATCCTGAAAAAATGAGCCCTAAAATTTTGTATTTCTCGGTGATTTGTTATTTTAATTCTAACACTAACTTAAAGTCAGACTAACTCTAACTGTAAATTGGTAAATGGGATCCGTCGATTTTTTACAACACATCACAGACTATCTGAGTTCGTTTAATAAGCTGTTTACATAAATTATAAACCGTTTTCATACGACCGGCTTATATACGTAATAAAATAGAATTGGTTCATTTTAAATGGCATAACATTGCTACATCATACATTTTGCTAATTATTTGATGCTGTCTAATATTATTTCACATAATGAATCTATTACAGGTTACGCTGATTATATCAATTACTTGTCCGTCTGTACCCCAGCGATAAGCATAGGCTGTTGTATATAAAATTTAAATTTTAGTAATTCGAGTTTGCCTAGAAAAACCTGCAAATCACAGAATTTAATAAAGGTTAACTTCTGATTAAATTTATTATTAAAAGCCAATTATGTATATCTGTAAAAAATAAAAACATTTTAAAATAAAATTAATATTACAGTATATATTATATAAATACTATAATTTAATAAAAAGCTTCACTGATATATTATTATGAGTTTAAATATCCACTTTCATAAAAATCATATGCATATATGAAAGACAGTACTCGTTATAGTGAATTCCCAATATAGTGAAGTTAAATTCAATGCTATTATATATAAAATTCTCTTGATATAATGAATTTATTATCGCTGTATTTTCGAATTAGTGTGATCACAGAACTTTATGAATTCCATGAATCCTGCATATTACCATTATAAATACAATGGTAATATGAAGGATTTATAAATTCTATGATCGCATTAATTCGAAAACAGCGATAATAAAACTCTCGAAATATCGTATGTTACTGAATGAAAGCAAAAAAATAAAGGTCGGACCCGATTTTATTGATAAACATAATAACCGTCAAATTTTTGGCTCCAAGATTTTATTAATGGAACAAATTACTTCACTATAACGAGAGTAAGTTGTCAAGTACGTACGTACGTACGTACGATACGTAAAAGTTGATTTTATATCACATGTAGCACTTGTTCTAATAAACTTTTCTACCATTTAAAATTTATTATAAAAAGAAATAAAGTTGATATATTTTTACTATGATCTTGACTATGGATGTAAACTTAATTAAATTTAATTGCTAAAATAATTTTATTTTTCGAAAATATTATTGTTTTGATAATT